TGTTTTAAACTACTAAGCTGTATTTTCCATCATTGATGTACTGTTTGGTGTTCTGTCTTTTATACTTGCCATTACTAGCCAGGGACTTAGTTTGTCAAGTTGTCATTTGAATGACAGTGGAGTGTTACACAATATTGAGGTACCAGAGTTTACTTATCTCCCCATTTGCTTTGTTTCCAGTTTCTCAAGATTATAGGTAGTGCAGATGTAAACATCTTTGTGCAAATAAGAGTGGTTTGTTTTTGTTTGTTTGTTTGTTTGTTTGTTTGTTTTTAGGCATTTGATGGTAGTCCTAAAAGTAGGATTGTTGAGCCAGAAAGGCCGTGCACTTCCTTCACCCATGTAGTGGTAATTTTCTGAGTGCTTACTGTGTACCAGGTGCTGGAGGTGAAGAGGTAATTCAGAAATGGTCCCTCCCTCAGGGAACTAAGAGTTCCTTGTAGGACAGATGATGTGCCACAAAAGGATTGATACTAAAGTGGGGGTTTGGGCAAGAAACAGGGAGAGCACTGAGAAACGTGGCCCCTGGTGGTATCTGAGTGTTCCTTTTCCCCCATGTGACAGGGCAGGGCAGATGGGAGTACAATGAGAGGTGTGAGAGGGGGCTGCCCAGCGGTTGAGTCCTTGTCCCAGCTTTTCCGAGGTCTGTGGCTGAGCTGCCTCCTGGATAGGGATACTTTCCCCACCTGTCCCTTCCCTGCAGCTACCATCTGGCACGTGGGGCCTGGCATTACTGCTCATATATACTAGGCGCAGCCAAGTAGAAGGTGGATGGCAGGGACACATGGGGAAAATGGCTTGGGGCTTGAGGAGTGATATGAGCGGCAGTCCTCCAGGTCCCCTCTTCTTCCCTTTTATCTAAGCCCCCAGCAGCCACGGTGACAACACGTTGACCAATTCCCACTCACTTAGCTAATAAGAAAGTGCACAAAGCAGCCCTGGCTGGTGTGGCTCAGTGGATTGAGTGCTGGCCTGTGAGCCGAGGGGTCACCAGTTCAATTCCTGGTCCGGATGCAGGCCTGGGTTGCAGGCCAGGCCCCTGGTTGGGGGCATGCGGGAGGCAGCCACACATGGATGTTTCTCTCCCTCTCTTTCTCCCTCCCTTCCCCTCTCTCTAAAAATAAAATAAAATAAAATCTTTTAAAAAAGAAAGTGCACAAAGCATAATTGCATAGCTCAATGTCTTCACAAACCAAGTACTGTGCTAGATGCTAGGAACAGAGAAATGAGTTCCATGTGGCCCTTGATCCCAAGGCACTCTGGTCTAGGTGGTTAGACAGACAAGGGGAGAAATGGTACAGCCTGGTGTGATGGAGGTCTGTGCAAGTGGCAAGGGACATTGAGCAGTAGTCCCCTGGAAGTGTCTGAAAGCCCAGTGCTCTGTAATTTCGGCTTTGGCTGTGCTGCTTCCCATCTCCCAGCGCCATTCTCCACCTACAAAATGGAGGGATGAGTTTGATACCCTCAAAGGGCCTTCTGTCTCAGATGTGCTGTGAGTCTGACTCTTGTCAGAGAGCAAGGCCGAGCTGCTCCCCGAGAAGACCCAACTTACTTGGCTTCAGTCATTCCATCTCGCTCATCTTCTCCCCGCCTCCCACCACCGCATTGTGTTATTTGGTGTTCTGCCACCAGCCTTCTTCCTCTCTTGGCCTCCATATACTCCTGTGACTTGGGTTACCGTTATGCACTGATGACACCTATATCTGGACATTGAGCCCTGTCCTCTTCGCTGAGTTTGTGATTCATATGCAGGCCTTGCTTTATTGAACTTCACAGATGTTGTGTTGTTACCAACATTGAGGCAAGGCCCCCCACCAGCAAAAAGATTACAACTCACTGAAGGCTCATATGATGGTTAGCATATTTTAACAATAAATGTTTTTAAATTAAGGTATAGATATTGTTTTAAAGATAGGATGCTATTGCATACTTAATAGACTACAGTATAATATCAACATAACTTTTATATATACTGAGAAACAAAAAAAAATGTGTGGTTCACTGTAATGCAAAGAATCAAGGTTGAAGCATTTACAAGGTATGCCTGTAATAATAAAAGTAATCAGCATCTGTTAAATCCCAGATTTGATACTACAATTATTATTTAAATTATCTCATATCATCTATCCAACAACCTTGTCAGGTGGGCAGTGGTACCCCATTTTATAGATGAGTGAGACTGAATTCAAGAGATACTGAGGCTTGCTCAAGGCCCTGGAGTTAATAAGTGACAAGACCCGGGATTTGAAAACCTGTGTGTGCCAGGACCCGGTGCCCACACTGTCACGCATCACACCATATATTAAAGAATGCGTCTGGTCACCAAAGAGATATTTCCACTAAGATATTCCACAGATCTCAAATTCCACGTGTCTAAAATTGGCCTCACTGTTTTTCTGCCTTCTGTCCAGTCAGCCTTTTCCCGTCTTCTGCATCTCAATAAATGGCACTATCAACCCAATGATATCCAAACCAGAAGCCTGGGAGTCTTCCTAGACCCTTCCTCACCCTTTCTTCCAACATCCAACCTTTTACAACTTCCTGGTGATTTTTCCTCCAATTTTCTCCAGTCCCACTGCTATTATCTTCAAAGGCCATCAGTGCTCTTCCCTCTTTGGGTTTCTGCAGCAGTCTCCTTATCAGTCTCCCAGCATGGACGCCCTCTGCCCCAGGCCATCCCCCGCGCCCCCCCCCCCCGCCCACGCACTAGTGGGCCAGGATGATATTTGTCAAGCACACATGTGATCGCATTGCTTTCCAGCTTCAAACCTTCCACTGTTTTCTATGGCTCTGCAGCAGAGCTCAAAGCTGGCCACCCATGGGCAGAAATCCATCTAAGAGGACATGTTTTGTTTGGCCCATTGAGCATGCTTAAAACATTTTGAGTTATTTGCCAACATTTAGAAATCAGGAAACTCCATATGAGAGGTTTATTTCTGGCTTCTCTTGCAAAAGTGAAAAAACTGGCAACTCTGGGCCCATGTCCCTGCAGGTCAGTGATTGGATGGAGCTGAGTGGTGGTTGCTGTCTTTAGAAGGGGCATGGGCTCTCCAGTTGGCCAGTCTCCAGCATCTCCAGTGTCTCTTTGTCTCTGGCCATTCCCCTGCTGCCAATTACCTGCCTGCGTCTTGAGGCATTTGGGCTCATGATCTTGCAGCACGGGGTGGAGCCCAAAGCCCTCAGCCTGGCTCCTAAAGTCCTGCGTGGCTCAGCTCGGAGCAGACCAGCTCTGCCAACCTATTAAGCCTTACTTCAGCTCCCTGCCCCAGCACACTATCCTCTGTGGCCCCAACTCTTACACAACTCTGGGCCCACTGAACCAAGAAGCACTTGTTTCGACACCTTCCCCCCAAAGCTGAGTTTTGTCCTTCCATAATATAGGGGTGGACAAAAATAGGTTTACAGTTCATATGGAAAATAATACAATAACTAGTAAAGAATAATACAAGAATTAAACTCTGTGTTTTGTGTACTCACAACTGTAAACCTACATCTGCCCACCCTGTATGTGGTACAGACCTCAGTCACCACACCCATCATACTGATTCATAGTTGTTGACTGGCTTGTCTTCCCCTCCTCCCTGACAGTGAATCTGAGATCGTAGGAAGTCTTTCTTTTTTGTCTTCCTATCCCCAAAGCTTGGCATAGGTCTTCGAAGATAATAGGTGTCTAATAACTGAGGAATGAATGGATGAATCAGTGATAGACTTACTTGAGAAACTACTACTCCAGGATATGTAGTAATTTTGCCACATATATGCTTGGTGTGGAAGGTTTCAGGTTCCTTTCATTCTGGACCACTCCTTTCCAAGGTTCCATTCAGAGTGACAGTGACAGCATTTATAAACCCTACCCCAGTCCTGCGACCTATGGAATTTATCCAAGCCTACTGGGATGGTGGTTCTTTGTGACGATAAACGGAAAATAATATTATTTGTGCTGTACCAGGGGAGGGAGTTGACTAGCAGTTGGGGCATGGCACAACCATTGTATGTGGCACATTCTTTAGTTATCTGAATAATAATAATGGTGTGGTAATTATAGCATCTAACACACATTGCACACTTAGACATTGTACACTTAGACATTGTACGAGATCTTGTTCTAACAGCTCTCGTTATATCATATCCTTTGCTTCTTACAACAATTTTAAGAAGTAGGAAGGACTTCTGTGCTCATTTTACAGAAAACTCAAGTGAGATTTGGGGAGTTTAAACAACTCTTCCTGGGTCACACATCCAGTAAGTGGTAAAATACAGATTTAAAGCCAAATCTGTGTGACATCACAGTTAGTATTCTCAACCACCCTGCTATACCCAATAAATGATATTTCTCTTCTGAAACATGAGGCAATGATTAAAATAAATGTAGAAATAAAGTGTGTGTGTGTGTATTCCCATAGTAATAAAAAAAATAGGATCTCCTAAGGCATAGAGAAAAGAACCAAGGAGACCCACCCATTGGGCTAGCAGTAGTTACATTTGGGTAATAGAGTGCTGGGGATGATTTTCTTCTTTTCTTTCATCTTGTTTCTACTCTTTTTTTTCTAAATTCCCTTTAGTGAACACATTTTACTCTTTTAAATTACATTTTGGTGTCTTATTTAACTCAATATAGTCAAAATATTATCATTTTAACATGTAATCAATATAAAATTAACATATTTTACATTCTTTTGCATATGCAAAATCTGCATATTTTGCACTTACAGTGTATTTCTAGTCTAGTCACATTTTATTTTATTTTATTATTTTTACAATAAATAAAACCCCTCTCTTTGTAATGGCCTCATTATTACATGGCAGAACAGAGGTTGGGAAGGGGTTGATTGGAGTACCCAGGTAATCAGTGGGGCTCTCTCTCAGGCAGCTGTCACTACCCACGGAAAGGGGGTAATCAGCACGTAACAGCTGTGGCCTCAGCACCTGCACCTCGCGGGGCAAAGGAAGAGAAGTGGGTCACGAACCCTGCTATCTTACCATCTCCCTTTCTTCTTCAGGTGCTTACACCCCAGAGCCCCTCAGCTGTTTCCAGTGGGCGCTTCTCTCAACTGGCCTCATGTTCTTTTATCACTTCAGCGTCTTACAGATCCTGGGTCTGGTAAGTTTAATTCTACCCCCTTCTGTCCCCTCTGTTTTGGAGTTGTCTTCATAAATCTTGATAATCCTGCTTGGCACTGGTACATTGTTTTGTTTTGAAAATATAAGATGCCAAAGGCCAGGACATCGGATTGTCGTGTCTGGGTTGCTGATTTATGATCTGCAGCCGTGGCTTCTCTAAAGAGTTTTCTGAATCCTTTAGTGATGGCTGTTTCTTTCATCCATTGGAAGGCAAGGATACCGCCTTTCACTCGTGGCCACTTGGGTTGGAAATGGTGAGCTGCAACTGGAAAGTGGTTTGCTGTGGACCCCATGGGGAGGCATAACCATAACCCTCACTCTAGGCCTGGATAAGGCTTTTGGGCCTATGCCAAGACCCTGAGCTGTGTGGCCAGTGGAAGTACAGTGTTGGGGGACCCGTGGGCATACTGGGGTGTTCAGACCTGCCTGGAGCTTGGATGATGGCTGGATTCAGTACCCGAGTTATCCAGAGCCCAAGATTGCTGTGTGTATGGGTGTCTGTTGGTGGCAAAGTGAATAGGGAAAGCTCCGGGCTGGGGCTGGGGCTAGGGGGTCAGGAGACCCAAGTTCAAGTCCTGGTTCTGCCACTGCTCTGTGTGAGTCACCTTATCCTCCAGGGTGGAGAGCTCTCCACTCCTCTGTGACATGGTACAAACCCCCCAACCTCCCCATCAGGTGGTAAGGACTTGTCTTTAATGTGAATGGGCTTGAAGGGCTTTGGAAGGAAGATGTAGTGGCTGTCCTTGGGGCAGGAGTGGCATGTCTGGTGTTATTGCGAGCGGCAGCAATGTAGTATTTTCCACGTGGAGCCTTGCGGGGCCTGGCAGGACTAGGGTGTGTAACCGGTGTGAGCAGTGCCTTTATAGAAGCAGTTACCTTCTCTTCCCCACCCTGGCATATTGTTCTGTTCTGGTTTACCTTGGGGTGTGGTTTGAGCTCCTTGCTGAATGTGTGCATGCTTCCTGGCAATAGAGATGAAGTAGTATGGCCTTCACACTTTTATCCGCACTGCCCTCTACTGGGCCTCCTTGATTCCAGAGGAGTCAGTGTCCTTATGTCAGCATCCATACCATACTCGGTCCCAGTTCCAGGCTGGCTCAGGCCACACCTCCTACAAGGAAGGCTCTGCTTGCTCCATCCTTTACCGTGACCTCCATCCACCCTCCGTGAGTGCATTCAGGTGCCACTTCCTTCATGAAATCTTCCCTGAAGACTTGGCCCCCACTCTCGGCCCTCTGTAGATCTCCTGGTGGAGCAAACCCGGTGAGCTCTGTCTGGTCTGGGGTCAGATATGGCAGATAGGTTGCCAGGGATGTGGAGGCAGGGACCATGCCGTTGACGGTTCTTTTCTCCCATAACACCTCTCTGGGGACTAGGCACACAGTAGATGCTTCGGAATAACAACAGGCCCTACACTCAACCCAGAAGGCGAAATGGAGCAAAACCAAACAGCTCTTCTAGTGGACAGCCTTCCCCATCACCTCCAGTGGGCTCTAGCCTTGACTAACTCAGGAAACCTAGGGGAGAGAAATCCTATTATGAACAGGTGGGGATTTGTCAATCCCTACTTGCCTAGTTTCCCTTTAGGCAGAGATGGCTGAACTGGCAGAAGCCAGAGAAAGCCTAAGGATGGTGAACGCTCACTCTACCTCCCTTGTCCCTGCAGGTCACCGAAGTGAATTTGAACAACATGCTGTGTCCGGCCATCTCAGACCCATTCTACGGCCCCTGGTATCGCATCTGGGCCTCGGGACACCAGACTCTCATGACCATGACCCACGGGAAGCTGGTCATCCTGTTCTCATACATGGTTGGGCCCTTGTGTAAATATCTGCTGGATTTGCTCCGGCTTCCCGCCAAGAAAATAGACTGAAGGTGCTTTTCTTTTTTCCCTGAGGAAACAAGTCCTGACTTGATTTGGAGAACACCCAGTTCTTAATGAAATCATGGGAGAGGGCAGTACAATGTTTGGTGTATTTCTTTTTCCTTCCTCTCTGTCCCTTTCTTCCACCACTCTTCCTTTCCCAGCTCTTCCTCCCAGGACATTGCCTGGAACCTGGGCATAGTGCTGAGGGCTGGATTTGTCCTCTGCCCCTTTGCTCTTTCTCCCTGCTCCCAGTGGCCTTACATAGGGAGACAGTAGTCAGTAGCTTTCACTCTGCTTGTTGGTGCTTCAACAACAGCTAGTTGAGGAGAAAGGAAACAACAAGCAGTGGTTCTTTTGGCATTGAAATGATTAGATTGGTTGTGTTTCATTTCTCCACTGCCAGGGACCTACAGGTTTATGCTGGGGTCCCCTTTTGTCTCCAGCAAAGCCCCCACTGTAGGGGGACCGAGGCCTTGTTTCTATACCAGCGGCAAGCCAAGAGCCACGGGATTTCCCAACTCATGGCCACAGTAGAGCTGTCCAGATTCTTCCCACTGGTGTCCCATGACTCACAGCAAGCAACCAACCAGCCACACTCTCCAGAAGGCTGCCTGCAGTGGGAGATGGGACACTACCCGGCCCAAAGGCTTGATTCCATTGAAGGGGGAGAGAGCTGCTGCAATGGCAAATCCGAAGTGAACAAGGTTTAAATGTCCACAGGTAATTCTCAGCAGGACCCTGGGGGCACTCTGCCTGTGAGAGCTGAGAACTGACCCACAGCCCAGTCAAAACTGAGCATAGAAATTAATCAACAGAAGTAGTAACTTGAGAAAGCAGAAAACAGATTTGACTCATATGCTCCATTTCAGTTTAATGTTGGTAATAGATACCACTTTAATCTTGAGTACCCATTAAATGTTCCCTCTTTCTCTCTTTTTTAAAGGCAGCTCCAGGGAAGGATGAGCTAGAGGTGGTTTTGTTTGTTTGCTTGTTTGCTTGCTTTTCTTGCTTTTTGGATTTTATTGGCTTGCCCATTTGTTTTTGGATGTTTGAGTTTGGAGAATTCTTGCATCAGGCCATGTCTCCGGAAGGGCTCTTGTCAGTGCATTTTGTGGTTCCACAGGGTATGTCAGCATCCTGGGTTTCGGAAGACACAGATCCTGCTTGTGTTGTTTCCCTAGGGTCAGAAAGCGTCACTGTAGCCAGGCTTGGTGCTGAATTCTTTATCGTGGGAGGCACTATATGCTGCCCACCCTTCCTACTCCTGAGCCTATGTCTAGGTTGAAAGGGTGGTACCAAGGAATTAAGTCTCCATGGGTGGAGATTCGAGTGCTCCAAATGGAAGACCTTTTGTTGAGAGACTTTAGGTAAGTCACACATGGATCTCAAGAAGGGAGGCAGTGGCTGGGCTTTTGCTGACTCCTTGTTAGCTTCTAAGAAGAACAGAAAAGATGGTTCAGTGAGTCCCTCTGGTGGGCCTCCCCTCCCATCTCCCATTCTAGGAAGCCCAGTTGCCCTGGGCCAGTTTCAATATTTCAGGTGTTACTGTATTAGATGTGGACCGAGCTTCGGTGACTCAGTGGGTACGATTTTAGCAGATGGACCTACAAGAGGCAGCAGAATATAGGAGGGTCTCTCTGAGCAAGGTGAGGCCAAAGGCAGCAACCCTGGGACCTTTGGCAGAGGCCTGCTAGCACTGAGGCGATCAGTTCCCAGGGTGTGGGGGAACAAGAGGGAGGACACTGGGTGCTTTTAGTCCCCATGAGCTCCTCATGACATGTAACCTTCATTTTCTGCTGTCTTTGAGGGCTTGGAAAGGTTTTTCTTAGTGCCTCTCACCCTAGGGTCGCCTTCCAGAAGAGGCACCTTCTGGTTGGCTAGATTTGCCTTGCCCACCATCAAAGTGCTGCGTGTAGGATGAGCTGATAAGGAAATGTGCAAGGCCTCAGTGCCCCTCGGCCTCTTTACAAAAAGAAAAGTTGGAAGGAGGCCATGGGTGGAGCCGTTAGGGGCCTGCCCTGCCCCCTATAAGTACACGGAGTCTTTGTAGGCAAATGATGTGCCTCGGCTGGCCACAGTGGCATAAGTGACTCTGCAGGAGCTCTTTTCCTCCCTGTGTGGCATGGCATGGGTTGCCAGTCAGCCTGAGCTTTCCCCGCACTGGCATGCCTCTAAAGCTTGCCTTTGCCCTGGCTGCAGCTCAGTGTCCCATTCTGGCTGGCATTTTCTGCTGTTTGGAAGGAAAGAAGAAAGTGAAAGCCATGTGCCTGCCCTGGCCAGGCCAAAGACAGATACACCTGTCAGGGAAGGGAATAAGTGAAGGGGAGATGCAGGGCTTCTGAGGACCAGGCTGGCTCAGAAATGTGGAGGTGGAAGGAACAGAGAGTGAGCCTAATCCAGAGGCTCCACAGGGAGTCAGGGGCTCTGGCTGAGGTGTTAGGGAGCAGTGTGCATCTGAATTGGTCTGTACCTCACTCTCTCACCTTGGACCAAACCTGGCCAAAAACCAGGGCAGCCTGCCTGGGAGGGTGGCACCTTTACCAGCGGGCCCAGACTTCCCAGCTCCTTCTCAGGGCCTTCCTTTCAGTGCCAAGGAGGTTCCCCAACCACTCTGGCCAAGTTTCCATGTCATTAGCCACTGTGTGCGAGCTTAGTGTGTGTTTGAGAGAGTGTTTGGAGGAGTGGACAACTTCTTTTAAAACAGTCCTCAGAAGAGAAGTGAGTATTCCCTCAAGCCCCTGGGTACTCTTGGCCAAGGATCTGGGCCAATGAGAAGAGTCTGTTCAGTTGTCCAACTTGTGGCATCAGGTCAGAAGAGCAGAGATATGGTCATGCCTGCTTGCAGTCTCAGTATTTGGCTTTGGACACCAAAGATGATCCGGCCCATTTTCTTCCTAGTGATGCCTATCTCTCTGAGCTTGTGAGGAAAGCATAGACTCTGCCTCCCCAAGTCAGTACTCTCTCTTTCTCCTTGAACTACTCAGCATTCACAGAAGCTGCTTGCAGAGTGGATGGCATAAGCTGGGTGGTCGGCGCACTTTACCGTCCAGTACCAGAAGTCTAGCTATGAGATCATCTCTTTAGCTGCAGTCTCAGCCAGGGCTTTGCTATTTGTGCCGCTCAATAATTCAGTGTTTTGGGGAGTGGGCACAGCTCCCCACAGATAACAAATTGTCAGCAGGTTTTCAGGCACTGGTGTTGGGTCTGGGTGGCGCTGTGGGTGTAAGCTGGGTGGCTCACTAGGTGGTGGAGGGCCCTTTCTCCTGTTCCCTTGGCCAGAAAGACTTCCCTGGATCTCTAGATGTTGATCCAGAGTCATCTGTCCTCTTTGGAATACTGAAGAGGAGGCGTGGGAGGAGAAAAGAAGGGCTGAGCCCCCTCTGTGGCTGGTGTGGCTCAGTTGGTCGGGCGCCATCCTGCAAACCAAAGGGTCACTGGTTCGATTCCCAGTCAAGGCAAATGCCTGGTTGTGGTTTCGGTCTCTGGTTGGGGTGTGTATGGAAGGCAACCAATAGATGTTTCCTTTTCACATTGAGGTTTCTCTCCCTCTCTTTCCCTTTCCCTGCCCCTCTCTCTAAAATCAAAAATTTCAAATACATACACCCACACACAAATAAAAAACAAAGCAGGGCCATGCATGACACTGCAGGCTAACATGCAGGTGCAGTGCTGGTTTTGGTAAATCTGGAGAAGACATAAGAGCCGGGCCCTGCAGACCTTCGTGGGCTCCTTGACAAGGCCCCCGACTGAGAAGGGACCCTCCTGCTGCCTGCCCTGCCCTGCCTGCCCTGCCCTCTGGGTGGTGGGCAGAGTCACGACAGGGAGTGAGCCGCCTTTTTCTGTATATAGATTGAGTCAGTTTGTGCTCAGGAAAACCTAGTCATTTGTTGTTGCTCTTGTCTGTGACATTTTTTTGTACAGTGGTTTGCTGCTCAGTGGCATGAAACAAAACAAGTCATTTTAAGCAAAGCTCTTGTTTTGGAAACTTCCAGTGTCAGTTTGTTTTATATTTTAAAGAAGTCTTCATTTCTATTACTGTTATTGTGGCAGAGAGAATGAGATAGTCTGATCTGTAATTATTTCTGCCAGGAAACTGGCAAATGCCTCTGTCCCTCTTACACCCCATCCCCACCCTTCCTCACTCCCACGGACGATGGCTATGCACTGGGCAGACCCCTCCCTGTCCCTCCTCCCCTCGATGGTTCCCTTTTAGACCAGCCTTTATAATCCCCCTAAACAGCAGCAGGGTGAGTATTTTTGCCAAGGCAGCTCTTGGTCCCTCTGACCCTGCCGGTTTGTTCACCTCTTGGGGCGTTTTGTAATGTGTTTTCTCTGTTTTCTAAAACCTTGTGATTGTACCAAGATGGTTCTGCAGTCATCTTTGGAAATAAATGGTCATTAATTTATGTACTTTGCATTCTGAATTTTGGTCTTAGGTGTTTTGTTGTTGATGATCCCTGAATGAAAAGGAACCCTCACCATGGGACATACTGTTACAATGTTTTCTTCATTTACTGTTATTAAAAGATTTATGAGAACCTGAGAGTCTCGGCCTTGCTTCCCAGACCCTCTCAGAAGGTCCCCGGCCTTGAAAAGGAGACAAAAGGGGGCCACTGGTCCCCCACGCTATGGAGGGGAGCACCGAAGGGCAGCTGGCACTCTCTGCATAGCTTTGCCCTGGGAGCTGTGTGGCAGGACGTGTGGCCTTGAATTCCCACGTGCTACCTGCTTCTGCTAGGGCTGCCAGGGACCCAGGGAGTCCTTTGCCCTTAGCAGGGCTTGTCTGCTGGGGACATTTGCTGGGCTCACTGGGCCCATGCTGCGTGGAGCCAGGCTGGATGACTGAGCTAGAAAAGGCAACGCTGGAACCGGCATGTTCAGGCTCACTCATCCCAAGTTCCCTGAGGGCTGGCTCTGTGCCAGCAGTGTTTGACCAAGGGCCTGTGCCCAGCACAAGGCAGGATTTCCTATGGGGAGAAGTGGAGAAGAGAACTCTGCACTTGGGGAACAGTCATACCTTCCTGCCTAAGGCTCCCCACTGAATAGCCCATGGTGAGCGTGATCAGCCCAGCTTGACTTTACATCAGACAGAGACCCTCCTTGATGTTTTACTGGTGCTGCTGCTTCTAGAAGGGACACAGCTAGCCAAAGTGGCCCGCAGTGCTGGTGGATGTCCTCATCGGCGAATAGTTGGGCACCCAAGACACCAGTGAGGCAGGGGCCTGCGATCTTGCGCCACAAAACCACCATGCAGTGCCAGTCATCTGACCTCTTGCCACCCCAGGTTCTCCATGTAGTGGGAAGCAGGAAGTAGAGCCACATGCCAGGTATGATGCTGAGTCCCTCCACACACTGTACTTGCTGTGAATCCCACAAAAGCACAGTAAGCTGACTGGCGATGCTGTTGCCACCTGACAGACAGACCTAGTAAAGAGAAGTGACGCCAGTTTGTTAGGCTCCAAAACTCATGTGCTTTACACTCACCCCAGACTTCCATGACCTGTTTGGGCTGCTGGGGTTACTGGTCAAACTTGAAAGAGAAGGGAGGAAATCCAGGAGGAGAGCCGGAAAATGATGTGGCAGGCAGGAGAGAGGAAAGTGAGACTCGGGACTGCATGACCCAGAGTAGTCAAGCCCATGTTTTTTTCTGCCACCAGCACGCCTGACTCTGACGAGCCTCAGAGCAGAACTGAAAGGTATAGGAGTGGCGGTTGGGGAAGGGGCACAAGGGTCCAGGTAGAGCTGGCCCCGGCGGAAGGAAGGAAGGAAGGGAGGGAGGGAGGGAGGGAGGGAGGGAGGGAAGGAAGGAAGGAAGGAAGGAAGGAAGGAAGGAAGGAAGGAAGGAAGGAAGGAAGGAAGGAAGGAAGCTGTTAGGTGGATGGGACACAGTTGAGCCCATGACCTTTCCATGTATCTCCCTTTTCAGGAATTGCTAAATACCAGTGACCTAGGCCATGCCTTTATTAGCGCTTCTGCCCCTGCCTCTGCTCCAGTCTTTTTCCCTAATGCAGGCAACAGTCTTCCAAATGCAAATCTGACCACTTCATTTCCCTGGGCCCTGTAAACCACTAGGTTTCATCTCCTCCTTGCCAGGCCCCCCGGGGAACCATACACTGGGAGAGACCCTTTGCTCCAGGTACACCACGCTCCATTTATTTGGGCCATTCCATTTCCCCGCTTCTTTACCTTTCTCTTTGTGCTGTTTTCTTACTCCACTGTCCGCTCTCCCTTCTCGTCTAAAGGCCTCGGCTCAAGGGTCAGCTCCTGTGCAGTCTTCCCTGAGCCCCAGTCCGCACTGGATTCTTCTCCGCTTGGCTCCCACAGCATCTAGTGCTCACTCCTGGGGCTGCCATTTACCCCCTATTGTGTAATTCCTTAAGGCTTTCTCTCACTCCATGGCTGTTGAGCTCCTTCAGGGCAGGGTAGGGTCTGATTTGCCCTCCAACCGCTGGCACCTGACCTGTTCCATAGAAGGGGCTAGATGAACAATGATCGTCTTTGGAGTCCTGCAGGCACCTTATCAACTGAGGGAGAATCTTTGGCCCTGGAGCTGGGGGCTCTCGCGCATCCTGTGAGCTCTGCTGCTGTGGGCTGTGCGCCTTTGTTTTTGAAGGCCCCTCAAACTCCAGCCTCTGGGCCTCCTTGCTCAGGGGCCCATCCTGCTTCTCTGCTCAGCTCTCTGCGGTTGGGATCTTGGACGAGGTGGTGGTATTGGGATGGAAGACAACTGAGACAGTACCTGTTCCCCTGACTCTAACCCAGACCTCGGGGTAAAAGGCGAGGAAGGCATCATCCATCTGCTTTGCCATGTCCCTGGCTCCTCCTCACCAGGTTCATCCCCTTCAGAGCCACCCCTCCATTTCCAGGGCACACAGAGTTGGTGTTTGCATGGCAAAAGCCCCACCAGCCCATGGAATGCATCGCCTACATCCCAGACGGGTACGAAGCAGCTTGGGATGGTCACCATCTGATCCCCTAGTGAGTTTTTCCCTTCTGCTGGTCTGCCAAAGCCAGTGGAGGAACAGAGATACACAGATGTCAGTTTGACAAATGCAATGGCTTTTTCAAAGGATATGTGCTTTGCAAACCTTGGCAACAAGCAAGGTTGGCCTAATCCACAGTCAAGGACTCTGTTACTGCCTGTACCGCCCCCTCTCCCAGTCAGCACTTTCCCCGCATCTAGATCGCACATCCGGGATGTCTGAACTGCTTGGTGAAGGGGTTTAAGTGTCTCCCAGGGAGGCAGTAGGGAAGGCTGCTCCTGTCACTAGCGGATGACCCAAAGGGCTTTGCCCTTCACAGCTGACCTCCTAGCTATTGTGCAGCTTCTCCTATATCTCAGCCAGGTGGTGGCCTCAGCGTCCCACAACAAGGCAGATCCTAGCAAGGAGGGTGATGCTTCCCCGATGTATCTGTGGTAGGTGACTGGGCTGATAGCAAAGACCCATGCGTGTTCTACTTTCCAAGGTTCTAAGGACCCATCCCCAGCCATACCTCTGTTCCAAGGACCAATTCTCCCTGGTCTTCGGCCTCTTCTCTGTCATCCAAGGGGCCTGCAGAGGTGCTGCCTGCTTTTGCTCTTCCTTCAGCTGTGCCTTCCTCCTCGCTAGTTCCCAGGACCCTCAATCCCTTTGATAGTATATTTTTAGAAAGACCCGAGGCTCTCCAGTATTCTGCTCCCTGAGAATGGAGGTACCTTCCTGCACACCCCAAGACATACCTTCAGATTTCTGGAATGTTGGAGCTGACAAGATAACACTCATACAGGGGCTTATAAATTTTCTTGTGTATCAGAATCACCTGAGGAGCTTCAAAGACCGTTTCAATGCCCAGGCTTCACCCCAGCTAGTAATTCAAAGCAAACTTTTTTTTGGGTTTACTTTAAGTTTCCAGGTTGTGAGTCTTGTGTTTCAACTGACCATCTACACCAGTGTTTTGTTTTTTTTTTAATGACAAGTTTAAGATACAACAAAAGGAATAAAAAATAATATCCAAGTTCAGCTTAAGAAAAAGAATATTGCCAACACAGTGAAGCCCCCTTACTCCACAGGTTTGGAAATTGTTTCTCAGAGCTTAAGGGAGGCTGGGGAGGTGCTGTAGAAGCCACTTGGGATGTGGGATGGATGAGGGCAGTGTGGCTGGGCTTCTGGCCGTTCCCTTTCTTCACCCATGACAAAACCAAT